CAGCCGCATTGCCCAGCGGCCATCGAAATTACCTTAAAGGGTAACTTTGGGCACGCGCGACTCTGGGATCCGCCGCGCGCGCTCAGTCGGCTTGCTCCTTCCCATCACCCCGGCTATGACTTCGGCCGCAGTGACCATTGTGGATCCCCAATCGCAGTCACAATCATGGTCATCTCGATAGCGTGGTGATTGTGGTCTAGCTGCTCAATTGTGGTCGGACGGCCAACTGTCTTTGTGACATATTCCGGTATATAAGCTATGCAGTATCCTGAATCCCCCTCTCAAGTTTCCTCTGCTTCTCACTATGAAGATTCTGCATCCAAAATCGAGGCAATATGTTTCGCGCTCTCCTTACGAGCGTAATCCATGGCGACCCATCCTTCGCGCGGATATAGAGGTGATTAATCAACCTCTGGCCAGTTCAATAACTGTCTCACGGGGCTCGTCAGTCTGCACCACCCTGGAAAATGCTATTCTCCAATTGCGACAGGAACACAGGGAGAATGCGAGGCACAGTCAAAAAGTATCGTGCAAACGCGAAGGTATGTGTCGCGCATGGCTCTGATAGGATATATTCTCGACCTCACTCCACAGACGTGGTCGCTCGCGCAAGGATTCGCTTTGGCCCGCGAGGAGTTATCGCGCGATGCTACGCCCGATGAAGACGTGTACGCATCCCGCAGATTGGATGCATTCGCTGTTGTAACCTCTTGTAGGCATTCCCCAAGTGGCTCCGATCCCTCGACAAGCGACCCTGGTCATTCTCTTCACAGCGGGGACGGACGGTCGACCCCCTCTCATCACGAACCCTTGCAGAGCATTCATCGTGGTATCCAATGTTCTACCAGCTCACTCTCTGCTCGAATCGACGAACGCACACGCACCGATCTCGCTGGGGCGCCGGGAGAGAATGTCGGCCTTGACCACGAGGAGTCATCGCACGATGTTGTAACCCACATAGACATGTACGCGCTTGATAGATTGGACGCATCCGTTGTCGTAACCCCTTTTAGGCATTCAACCGGCCCCGATCCTTTGACATGCAATCCTAGCTCTGCTCTTCAGGGCGAGGGCCGACGATTGATCCCATCTCCGCATGAGCCCATGCAGGGTGTTGGTCATAATATTCAGCGTTTTACTAACTCACACTCTGCTCGGAGCGACGAACCCTCACGCGCCGATTTGCCTGGGGCATTGGGAGAGAATCCCGGCGCCGATCGCGAGGCGTTATCGCACGATGCTGCGCCCGATGAAGACGTGTACGCATCCCGCAGATTGGATGCATTCGCTGTTGTAACCTTTTGTAGGCATTCCCCAAGTGGCTCCGATCCCTCGACAAGCGACCCTGGTCATTCTCTTCACAGCGGGGACGGACGGTCGACCCCCTCTCATCACGAACCCTTGCAGAGCATTCATCGTGGTATCCAATGTTCTACCAGCTCACTCTCTGCTCGGATCGACGAATGCACACGCACCGATTTCGCTGGGGCGTCGGGAGAGGATGTCGGCGACGAGAACCCCCGTGCTGTAGAATTGGGCGGAAATCCACAGTATCGAACACCTCCGAGCATTCTATCCTTTTCAGCCAGCCTCGGCGGCATGAAGTCAGATACTGACATTAGGGGGAAAGGTCATGCGTATGCTCTAGTATTCTGCTCTACCTCTCAATTGATATCAGTCCTCATGCAGAGGCAAGCACAAAGCAGCAATCAAATGAGCCTTCACTACGAGACGATCGCACGAGTACCAGTGCACCTCCGCCAAGGTATCACATCGGCGCCGATTATGTATGAATTGTGAACTTATATTCTGTTGCTCATAGCGTCCGGAACGACGCAGGGTGTCCGCGTACTATCTCTGAGAGTTTAGTCTCCAGCGAGGTTTCACTGTCAAAGGAACACAGGTGTGTCGTAACCAGAAAGCTCACCGGCTCAGACTCACACAGGCTCCAGGATGCCAAGTACCGTGCAGAGCGCATCGGGAGACGGAACTGTCCCCCGTGGTGGACTCGCGAAAGTCAAAGTGTGGTCTACAAGACACAGACTACGTAAACATGGTATAGAGATGACGTGTTTCAAGTCTCGCAGTGCATCTGTCTTGTCATCGCCAGGCTCTGCAGTAAAACCGGCACCTGGGGACGTCTACGTTCATTTCCCATCTGATGAAGCCCCGCAGTTGTGGTACGGGACGTCCAACAGTGGCTGGACGGCTGTGGAGATTGGAGCCATACACCCTTTATACCCTGATTACTGCCTCAACGTCTCTGCCGATCACTGGGGCCGTTGGGTGTTGAAGAAGACTCTCAGCACGTACAGAGGGCGCGAGAAGGTACGTTCATCTGTGTTGATGCGGACAATGTTCTCCCCTCATTCAATATCATGCGCAGGCTCGTCGGAATGGCACGCCTGAGGTCTGAGAGTGTGGATCTGATCGCACCAGGAAGATAGGATAGTTGTAATGTCGGCTGACCCTAGTACATGGTGTGCGACTAAGAATTCAACGTACTGTACATAAACTTTGCAGACCGAGCCCTTTTCATCAATAAGCTTACTGTTAATTGGACTCTTCCTCGACATTTGTAGTATGGACTGCTATCGAATCTTGCCCTGGACAGTCTGAGTTCATATCAGTCCACGACGAAAGGAGACGTACCAGATTGAGACGTTGCAGATCTGGGCGAGCAGGTCTTCGCGCATGACGTCGTTCGTGGTCTGGCTTCTGATAACGTGAGTGAAAACAGAGAGGAAAAGAAGTCGTAGAGGATGTCGACGTACTACCTGCACGGTTGTGCGCAAAGATCGATCAGAGTGAGGGTGGTAGATTGTAAGACTAAAGCCCAGCGACCACGAAAACAACGACGCGGCGCGGATGGGCAGCGGCGACTACGGAAGGCGGCTGAAGTTGACCGTGCCGCAGCGATGGGAAGCAAGATAGTATGCGTGCGAGAGACGAAATACATGCGGTAGCAAGACATGGGAAGGGAAAAGATATGACGGGGATGTCGGGTATATGCGTGGGGAGAAGACGGTGGCGGTGGCTTAAGTGGGTATAGGCAGGAGGATGATGATGAGAATGGTTCTGAGGCGGAGGTGGAGGGAAGTTTTCTCTGCCCCGACCATCTCCCTACTGTACTGTATATGACACTGGCGGGCTCGCACTGCGTAGCTCGGCGCGTATTAGTGCCCGGGGTAGAGAGGGCGGGGACAGGGCGGGATGCGGAGTTGAGCGCGCCAGCTTGGGGCCTGATCTACCGATCCTGATTAGCCGAGAAAGCCCGCAGAGTCCAGGGGCGTACGCGTACACGCTTTACAGTTCCAACCCTGTTCGTACAGCGTTATAAGTAGTATGGGCAGGCTTGCAGATAGCAGGGCTATCTGAGGGTACCCTTGCTCAAGCGAAGACGCCCAGGTGTTGTGGCCGTTCAAGCGGTTCGGAACAGACCCCTGATGCGAGAACGCCAGGGTTGCTGAGCGGGTTTGATGCGGGTTGCGCGCGGTCCTCACGCCCCTAACCCCAGCCCTCGCGCTGTCGCCGTAGAGCCCGCTGTTCTGAAAAGATAAATATGTATGTAGTATGTATGGGCTCGTAGAGATGTATACTGTTGGTATGTGTGATCGCGAAGAGCAGGGTGGAAGCCGTACGGGCTATGCAGAGGCTTGACTTTAAGGGACCTCACCCGCGTAGTCGCGCAGGAGCGCTACATGCGCAATATGATGTTCAAGAAGTGTACTACGACACAGTACCTACTGTATATTATGAGTTCGTTTCTCCAAGCACATTCTCCGCCACATGCTCTACGCCTCGTCTTCGTATCCTCGTCGCTGCCCTCCTTGTCGTCCTGACGCGTTCCGGCCGGCGTGCTGGCAGGCTGGGCAATCGCCTCTTGGAGTAGTGATGGCTGCCTCGCTCGCTTGGTCTGACCGACACGTCGCGCAGAGGGCTGCAGGTCATTGTAGTCAGGAAGGCTGTAGATTTGCTCGAGGCGCTTGCGGACTCCGTCGTTGATCACGGCGCGGCGACGGTAATTGAACGCGGTCGAGGTAAGCGGCGAGCGGAGGGTCGGTGGCTTGAGAAGACGGTTGACTGCGTCGGATATGCCCTTGTCCTCGCGGTCCAAGCCCCTCATCTCGACGTAGCAGCGCTTGAGCTCAACTTGTGCGCCCTCGACTTTCCACCACTTGTTGGTCCGCCTAGGCCTATGGCATATGCGTCGATGTCTTTTATGCCAGCGATGAGGCAATGCCGGTCATTTGGACATCTCATATGCTGCGCACGGCGCCTTGTCCTTCGTGGCCAGCTTGTTGTCATCTATCGCGTTTTTGTGTGCCTTGTGCGCAGTGGCAGATGCCAGGCAGAGCCCATTCGCACGTGGCGCATAGCTGCCTAAATTGGTAACCGTAACTCAAGCCCTGAGCGCCTGAGCACGCTTGGGGGAGGCCACGCGAGCCATGACGCACACAACCCCGTGTTGCGCGACCTTCTGCTAACCGCAAACCACCGTCTCCTCAGTGGGCTGGGTCGTTTCACGCATACACGCATCATAAGACACCACTGTTGTCCGTGCTAGGCCACCGTCGTTCGACACTACACTTCCCACCACCAGCCACTGCAAGCAGAACGCCGGCTAAAATCACACGAGGCCTTGCATGTATCGCGTAGCCAGCGGTGATGTCCATGGCTTGAGCAAATGCGATAACCCATTGTTCACGCGGTCGATTGTTCTTTCAATGGGTCTTTCATCCGTGTCTCCTTTGCGATATGCCACTGCTTTCGCGTACATAAAGCACGTCGGCGCCTTCGTCACCTCAACGACCGCACTGCGTTCCTAGTCGCCCACCCTCTCGAAACCAACAATGGAAAAGTACAGGAAAGCCTTCGAGTTCTCAACGACAACTCTCAGTAGACCGGCCAATCATCTGGCTCTCACTCCAGATGGCCGTCTGCTCGCAATATGCTGTGCGTGCACCAACTTTTGCTCGCCTTTGCGAACGACGACCTGAGATCTGCCCCAGCCGATGACCACCTGGTGCATATCGTCTCCTTGGCCTCCAACGGTACGACATACACGGCAGTGCCAACACACGGCGGACCCATGGCGACTGCCCAATGGCTTGTTGACAGCCGTGGAGGCTACTGGCTAGTAGCAGCCGGCCACCAAGGCTTCGTGCGCATTGTCTACGTCAAGTTGTCAGGACGCAAGGTTCGCCATGTATACCGTATGAGACAACCGCGCAATGATGCAGTGGTTGTTCATAGCTGTGCGTCGTTGATGAGACCGCGCCTATGACGCTTGGCGACGATGAAATCATCGATTTAGCCTTGGATCCCTCCGGGCGCTACATGGCCGCGGTGGCTATCCACCGTGTTTACCTGTTGTCGGTCGAAATTGACTCACGAAGTTCGTTACCAGCTCTAATACCACAACCTTTCGTGCTGACAACCGTCCGCAGCGCCCTTTAAATTGAGAGAACAGTACCCACCTGCCGATACGCCGAAGGAAGATTCCCGGCTTACTGGTGCCGTCTTTACGGACTCGGGGGCCACACTGATTGTTTCGCACCTGGATTCTCGTATCTTGTAGGCGACTCCAATCTCCTCGTCCAACGCACACTCTTACACTCTGCGCTCAGGCGCATATACCATGTCACGCCGTGGTCGCTTTTCGCCGATATCTGTGTGACCTTCTTGCCGTATGTGAACTCTGATGGCTTCTTTGCCGATATCTTTCTAACGGCGCAACAAGTTCTAGCATCGGATACGCAAACGAGCAAAGATGTTTGCTTATTTACTGCGCCGAGACAAGGACTGTTCAGGTTCTTGAACTTGAATCCGAACGTGTCGCGTCCAGAAGGGCGCTTCACTTCCGCCTTGCTAATGAAAGCGCTTATCGAAAGCAAGTATGTTCTGCACAACAAGGACAGTTAGTCCTCTGTGGATCCGACGCCGGCATGCTCGAGGGTTGGTACACCATCTCTGGGGATCAAGTTTCTACGTGTGGTCTCGATCACGGCCCCGGTACGTCTGTTGCTGCGTGCTTCCGAAGCGGCTTCTGATTGCACGACGGCGATCTAGGCGACGCCGGAAGAGACGGTGGACGGCCGGGATTGCAAACCATCAGTGTGAGTAGTCTGCGATTCATCCTCTCGCAGCTCACCTCTTCCTTAGTCTGTTACTACCCCGGCGGGTAACCACTTGATAGTCGGGTCGAACTTTTCGAACCCGCCAGTGATACATATATGGACTACGAAAGCAGTGCGCTTCCTCTGTTCCATCCTCCGTGTATGCTTTCGTGACTTTGTGTCCATGCGACTGCACAGACATTTCGAATTCGAAACGCCGTTCTCGTCGCATTCGTACTCATGACCACAGCCCTCCTTGGCTGGGGACTTGATTGTTGTACGTCTTGGCAACAACTCGGAACATATAACAGTATGCCCATTTGCATGCTATGCGGCGATGCCAGCTGATGTACTGGAAAGACTCTCTTCTCAAGCTCAATTATCTCCATTCCCTGTAGAGATGGCAAGTATGCTTGTCATGCGAATCCTCGCTTCTTGTTTCGGCAATGCTATAGGCCCTTAGGAGCCAGATCATATCTGTATAGTACTGTACAAAACCGCCAATGGCAAGAGTTCGGACGATATTATTCACACGTCGGTGTCAAGACATTGTCCTGGTATAAGAAAGCAAGCTCGATTCGAAGCGCATACAACCATCGTGAGACGTACACGATGTCCAGCACCATCTGGTAGTGTAGAATGGCAACCTGAGATATCATAAGCGCCCCGCTCCCTGGGAAAGCAAGCTAGAACACCAAACAGTCTTAGCGTGATTGACACAGAGGCAATACGGATCGTCTCACCACGAATACGAGCGAATGGAGTCTCGTGAGATCCGGATACACGGGTCTTCGGGGGCGGGTGAGCCCCAGAATGCAAAAAGAGCGATACACCTATGCAAATGCTCGCCCGTTTAGCAGCGACAACCTCCGTTATCAGAGCCCAGCACCAAGCGCTCATAGGTCGGGTGCCCCAAGAATAATAATGCGCGCGGGTTGCCGAGCCTAACGAATGCTTTGGTGGGAAGGTCGGGGGTGGAGTGACCAAGACAGAGGGAGAGCGACCAAAGCTGTGAACTGGCCAGGGTGATAACATGGGCGCCACAATGTGATAGGCACTACCTCTCATACAAAAAGCTCGTTCAGTGGTGAGGTGAGATGAATTTCAGGGACTATATTGATATAGACGTCAATTCGAAGTGGGCGAAGATGGAGCAAGGACGCACGTATGATGGAGACGCTGCGGCGATGGAAGAACGATGAGAATGTGAAATACGAATATAGGCGTAAAGGAGCATAAGTGTGGTGTAGGTAGAAGGCAATAGCGAGGGAGGGCAACGTGGAGTACGTGTTGCACGGTGAACGGCGATGATGGTTGTCGGGAGCAAGGCATGTGATAACCAGCCAGCGCGCCGCTGAAAGAGGCCACGGTGTGAGACACTGGCCCTTGCAGGACCGCCGGGCATCTCGGGATCTGTTCTAGGATATCTACTGACTTGTCACGTACTGCGCAGACTCCAAGCGTAGGACGTTGTAGGTGGTGTGAGTGCGAAACCTCCGATGCCCGCGCAGTCGCAGTCGCAGAGACTTCTGATGAGAAGCGTGTTACAGCCGTTTTCATGAAGTGCGGAATCGCGAATCGCGCCGCGACCTCCCAGAAGGCGTGGGCCAGCGGCAAATGCGCCTCCACGATGGAGCGGGTTCGATTCCCGGCGCTCTCACTCAACTATATGATTTATTCCTCTCTCCTAGGCCTATAAATCTACGTGCAAAATTTACCGTACTGTCTCGAAGGCTTATTAAACCTACTGTCGAAACCACTAGGAGGTCTGAGCATGTATACGATGCAAGTAATACTTCGTCGGGAGCACGGGTTCGAACCTGGGGACGCGTCGGCTCTGGGCCGTGCTTCCGAGGCGCGTCGACGCGACTCGCGTTTCCGCACTTCATTGAAAACGGCTGTAACAAGCTCGACGTCGCGTAGACGACGTAGAGGCTGTCGGTGTGCGAGGATCCGAGTGACCTGCACGTGTGCCTCAGGAAGTGTGCTTGAAGCACTGGGGATGATATTCGGGGGGGCCGGAGGCCAGGTAAGGTCCGAATCTCTCTACGTACATCGCGAGACTCGAAGTATATGTACGAAATGTAGGAAATGAGTCACAAAAGAGGAAAAGGGACAGAAGGGCCCAGAGTAGCTGACTGTATGGTAGTGAACCAATCGTAGGAAAGGAGTAACAAATACAGAAGAGGGGACTGGTACGGAAGTAAATATGACGGTGAGGGTGAGCATGTGGAAGGCCGATAAGGCCGATGTGGTCGGACGCGCGTCGTGAGCTGTGTGGCGCGGATACGTCCTCAGAGCGGAAAAAGACGTATCAAGCGGGTCCCCAGGAGGAGGCTATATCTTGTGCGCAATACCAATACTTCAGGCTATCCTACTCACAGTCAAGACTCTTGTTCTACATAACGCTGGCCGAGGCTGAGCTGGGGTCAAGACTCGGCCGCGATGAATCTCAGGTGACCGCGGCAGTTCGGATTCAGAAACGTTCCTCGTGGGACTGTCCTGGGTCTCACCGGTTACTTACCACCTCGCATGATGATGATCTGAGTGTATATGCAGACGTCCGGAGGCGCAGGGCCTGCGTTTGCGGGCTCGCATGATTCCCCGAGCGACAGTCTTGCACGGATGGGTTGCTGACAGTCGTCGTAGGACAAGCAACATCATGATGCAGATACGGCCAACCCTACATCTCGAGTTGCGCGGTTATGCACGGTGGCGTTACACTGCCAAGAAGAGTCACCGGTCAATCGTCAATCATCATACGTGGGCGGTCTATGAAGTACGCATCTACGCAATCAACCGCGTGAGAAACCGGCACCAACGAAGCGAGGTCGATGCTTCCACTCCTTTGTCCGCTAACGTCTTGACCTCTCCGTGCGCGCTCAGGAAATCCGACCCTGTATGTCTGAACGAGCATCTCCCCAAGTGAGTTGGATTCCCAGATGAACTCCACTCGCCTGACGGGTATCACAAGCAGGGGTCTGACGAAGAAAGACCTTCAAGACCGGCCAAACGATCTCGCTTGACCGGCGTTGGCGAAGGACGCTCTAGTGACCAAGATGATATCGCCGGCAGCCAAAACCCAATTTTGCCACCAGAGCCTGTCTTTCGACATCCTGATGGGTGTGGCTATGTCCGATGCGTAACCTGATTGCAGAGATTGATTCCGCGACAATTATAGATTCAAACCTGGCTCGGTCGTCCGCATCGTTCTCCACAATTTCGTGACTTACGCTCATGCAACGTTTCTTCCTGGGCCATACCTCAACTTGGTTATCGGCCCTAATGGGACCGGTAAGAGCACTATAGCTGCGGCCCTTGCTCTCGGACTCAACTGTCCTGCACACGTATGTCTCAAGTCTGCCGTCTCAACACTGGCATTCACGTACGACTCGGGTATCTAGATATTGAAGCGGTCGGACAATCTCCCCGACTACGTTCAGACTGGCCAGAAGAGCGGTTACGTGGAGATAGAGTTGAAGGGGTTGCAACATGCTGCCAACGTGATCATCCGGCGCACCCTTTTTGCGGGCAAGAAATCCTCGTCGTTTCAGTTGAATGGAGAGCCTGCCTCTGGTCAGGAGGTGATTCGGGAGATTGGCAAGTTGAATGTGAACGTCAGCAACATGTGGTGAGCCAACAAACGCGTATAACACAGGATCGTGCTCTGACCGAGCAAAAGCAACTTTCTTCCCCAAGACCGAGTGGCCGAATTCGCACAGAGGTCGCCCCAAGGCCTATTGCAAGATACACAACGCGCCGCAGGGGACAAATCTCTGGAGACTTGGCATGAAGGATTGATCGACAAGCAAAAAGACAGGAAAGAAATCGAGAGAGTGCGTAGCATCATATCTTTCCTGTATCGAACGTGCTCTCAGATTCTCCAGGCAATCAAAACAATGTCGGACGAGGTGCAAAGATTGGTCAACCGCAATAACTCAGATAAGCATCTGGTCCAGCGCATGGAGGAGCGCACGCGCAAAGTGGATAGTGTGTGTGTATGTGACGGCACTATAGCGTCGGCCACTGATCCGCGTATAGATTACAACATCGAAGCTTTTGCTATTGCGTATGGAGATAGTCAACATGAAGGGCCGTTCCGACATGATTAGGCAGGAGATGAAGGGGCTGGAGCTGAAAGTCCGCCGGCTGAAGGAGAAGCATCAACAGATGAGGACTTGTCGCAAGTGCGTGTACCCGTAGTTCTGGGCGTTTGGCCTTTGCAGGTGCACTGAAGACTCTCCGCGTGGTGGGTAGCCACCTTCAACAGGATCAAGGCCGCTTGCTCTCTCAAATGACGCCGTTGAAAGCATCCGTACGCAATCTGGAGCAGGAACTCGCTGCGATGAAACGCCGGCATGACGACTTGGTGAGATCATACAGAAGTTTCCACCCAAGTCTGTGCTGAGTCCTATGCGTCTTCAGGATGGCGAAGCACGCGACATATCTCTGGAGATTGAAAACCTGAAGCCCGAAGAAGGCGCTCGTGATCGCAAGATGACGGCTCTCAATCAATCGATCGCCGATATACGCACATCCCTGCAGACCCCGCTCACAGACTCGGCCAACCTGGACAGCACTTACAGGGAGATGGTCAGTGCCGAAGCTTAGCTGCGCGATAGCCTGTTTACGTGCAATAATAGACCAAACTTGAAGCTCGGTACCAAAGCCTGCATGACCTTCATGACAAGGTAATGGACAAGCAAGTTCTTCAAGTAGATGTCCTCGGGCGACTTCGCAATGCGGTCGAGTCTGCAAAGACCGCGTATGTGTCTTACATGCATCGAATTTTACCCAGACTAAAGTTACCAGAGTGCAGCAACTTTCCAACAGGGCCCAGCAAAGGCTTCTCAACTTGCGCGCGTCGGAGCCTGAACTTGTTGATGTGCTCTTGTGGTTGCGCGAGCACCAATGCCTGTTCAAGAAGAAGATCGTCGAACCTCCCATAGTTTCGCTCTCTGTGACCCACTCCAAATACCGCGATGCAATCGAAGCATGCTTTAGCTACGGTCAGCTCCGTGTGCGTGAAGAGATGAACTTCCTGGCGAATCGTCTGACATGCCATCCCCTCAGACATTCGTTGCACAGACCGAAGAGGACTATGACTTACTGAATCGCCTCGTCGTGGATACAGGAGAGGCTATCGGGCGCAAGTGCCGAATAAATGTAACCGCTTTTACTGCTCAGCGCAGCGACGATGGACCCTTACCTGCCAGTACTGCCGAGGTGATTGTTTCCAAAGGTCATTTTACCTGAGGGATGACTGAAGCCAAGAGTCAGCTACATGAACTTCGACTAGATGGATATGCTCTTGACTTCGTACACTGCCCCGATGAACTTCGCGTCTTCTTGAGAGACTCCGTTCAGCTACACCGCACGGCAAGCGACACAGTATTTGTAATGTCTGCTCATGGGGCTCACGGTTCGCGTTTAGCCCATTTCCGTGACACAGTTGCAAAGCACTGCTCGTGAGCGTCTGGCGGAACTGATGGCGGGACGGAAGAGTGGGAACTACATAACCGGCAGGACAAAGAACCATGTCACCAGATCCAAGTACGGCCAGCAGCTTCCCCAGGTCACTACGTCCATGATCAAGTCGGCTCGTTTCCTGACTGTGCACGACTGTAAGAAAGCCATCCATCCTCCTTTTGCAATATCTCAGTTTCACTCGTCTGTAGCTACTGAGGAGTCTTCGGCTTTCGAAAACGCCCACGCAGTTCTCAGACGCAACGAAGAAGATCTCAGCAAAGCCGAAATAGAAGAGGTTAGTATGCGTAGGGAAGCTGAATCGCTGTCGAGCCAGGAGCGGGAATGCAAGCTACGAATAGTCTGTAGCCCTTCCATATCTCCTTCCGCGTCCCATTCTCACGTCCACGTTAGGGAGATCTGAAGCGACTTGTTGACGGAGACGCTGAAAGGAGGAGGCACAGGACGGCTCTACAACAACGTCTGGGTAACTATTCATCTCGTCAATCCCATTCTGTATTCTGAAAGTTCGCTCAGAGGCTCAGGAGAAGGAACTGGACGCGTTACGCTCGAAGCCTGCTGTGAAGGATCGCTGGCTGTCGCTGCGAGCCCAGCAAGACATCTTGCGTACGAAGAACATTGAGCTTGCGGGACAAGTTGGTGTAAGTCAGTCATCAATTACAACCATGGCAATGTTGACAGCATCTTCCAGACTCTTGTCCGGCAGCGCATCGCAGAACTGAGACAGCTCACGGACATACACCTTCGGGAATCATCGATATCGAGCTCTTTGGCTGCTCTGGACGCGCTCATCGAGAAGCACGCAATAGCGGAGGATGACGCCGTCAAGGCGAAACAGTCGCGTGAGTTGTGCATGTTCGTACTAGTTCGATGAGTCGTTGATGTGGTATGCGTTGCGATGTAGTCGAAGATCAGAACCAGACGTTGAAGAGCGATTTCCAGCGGGTGAAAGACGAGTTCAAAGAGCTCGCCCAGTCCTCTCCACAGGCCTTCGATGCTGTCAAGTCTTCGAACGAGGTCCGTCCTTGACTTGAGTGCTATTACTCGTGAACGTTGGCTCATTACCGTAACTCAGAGATCCGAAGAGGATGTCCGGGAGGCATTACTACGGGATGAACAAGAGCTGGAGATATTGGTCGAGGTCGATCCCTTGGCCGTTGAGAAGTTCAATCAACGCCAATCCAAAGTATGTTATACTAGTCCGCAAGTAGATGGCCTTTGTTCGCTCACCTTTGCATAGATAGAGTCGCTGACGAGGGAGCTGGAAGAGAAGAGTGCGCAATTGGAAAAGATTGTTCACGATGTTCAAACCCTCCACAACCTCTGGGTTCCCAGGATCAAGTGCTTGGTAGAATCCATCAATGAGAAGTTCTCTCATTTCTTCGACCGTAAGTATGCCCAAGGATGTGACGTCTCAACTCTGATGGTTGCTATAGGCTTGTGTTGTGCTGGCGCAGTTGAACTGGTTGAACACGAGGATTATAAAGAGTGGGCTATTTCTATCCTTGTCAAGTTCCGCGACGACACACAACTTGAACAACTGTCAGCCTACCGTCAATCTGGAGGGGTACGTCTCCCGTAACTCGTACGAGTATCAGATCCCTCTCAGATATTTTCTCAGGAACGCTCCCTCACCACAATGGTGTACTTGTTGAGCCTCACTGCGCACCTCAACGGGCCATTCTCTCTCGTAGACGAGATCAACCAGGGCATGGACCAGCGCGCAGAGCGATCTCTACATAACCTCCTTGTGGAGACGACGTGCTCGGATATCAGTGGCCAGTACTTTCTCATCACGCCCAAGCTTCTCCCAGATCTCCGGTACGATCCGCGAATGACAATTCATTGCATCAACAATGGCGATTGGCTTCCGGATGAAGAGCAGCATAGGGTGTATTTGTCGGACTTGAACCAATTGCTCGAGAGTCTTGAGAGTAAAGGAGGTTATGTTGCTTAGGATTTGTATCTTAGATACTGCAGTGCATCTTCAGACGCTACAAATGATGCATACGCTCTAGATTCCCAGTATCATCTTCATCATCATGAACACTATCCCTCGCTATCCAAGACACAGGAGGTCAACAGCAGGTTGCACAGTCACTAGGGAGCACTGATGGCGGTGCGGTACAGTATCGGCTAATGATAGCTATTGAAGTTCCGCACAATCATGTTTGTCAGTCCGCACAACGTAGTCATGTTATTCGCTGTTATCCATATCTTCGCGAACATAGTACATCAACTTATATTCATGAAGACTTTCAAGCCTGTCTCCTGACACTGACATGACGCTCGCCCGCCCCATCTATCCTTCACCGCTGCCTTCCCCTGCCTGCCTGTCTCTGACCTATTGGAGATGGCCGAGAACTCAGCGCAGTCCGTGCGATAGCAACCGTAGGCGTTGGGGTTGACTGAAGGCAACGTTAGCGGCGATATCAATCAGGACGTCGACCTCACAAGCGCCGGACTTGTGGATATGTGTGAAGCTGCCCAAAGCGGTGAAGAACCTGTGCATCAAGTCAGCAACCTCGCGCGAGACAATTATGGACTGGACTGCGATGGACACACCGATAACTCCCCGGACTGAGGTTGCGAACTTGCGCCACATACGGAGCCTCTCGCGTGCGGTAACCTGTCGCATCAGCATACAATGCAAGGCGCGTCCGGCTAGACAGTAACGCGCAAACCGGCTTCCCACGCCTACGTCTGGTAAGCAATCTCCATCAGCATGGATTGGCAGAGGGAAGCGTCTCGGCCTACATACGCGGTTGTTGTCGAGACTGAGGCCGAAGGAGCGTAGGCGCAGCGAACTCGCGCCTGTCCAGTATTGCCCAAAACGCCGAAAGTGATCGAGGATAGAAGCGAAGTCGGGCCTGAAGGTTCAACCGCTGGTATGGGCTCTGACCGACGAGCCTTAGTAATAGTTCCTGCTTCACTCAATCTTGACCTGAATGCGCGTAGATCTAATGACGCATCAGCCTACCGTCAGGTTCACGGGCATATGCGACATACATAGTCTCCCGATTGTATGGAATTATCGGCCGAGGTGCTGTGCGCAGAAAGCCGACCTGGCATCGACAGACATAGCGATGGGAGGTGGAAGTTCTTCCCAGCGTGACCCGCCGATAAAGACCATGAGGCAGTGATACAGTTCTCGCGGAAGTTATGGCGCTATGGCGCTTGCTGGGAATGGGGCGAATACATCCGATAGGGCTGGCACTGCTCAGGTTCCAGTTCGCGAAGCAGGATTTAATTGAGTGCCAGGTTGGTAACCGGCAGTTTCGAGCAAAACGGGATGTTGGATGCATAGGACATGGATGCCGAACTGAAGTCCACGAGGGAGTCGCCGAGCGCCTTGGAGCCGACATTTTTTGGGAGGAACAGACAAGGCGACTGCTTGGTGAGGCGCGAGGGCGGCCAGCGCGTGCTCGAAGCCAAACTGAAGCATTCATAAGGTTCCCTGTGGGAAGATATCAGTCTGTACAGGGAGTAGAAGCCAAAAGATACGCGTACGTACAGTTGAGACCAGTTGAGCCAGATTTCAATCCATCGGTCTTAATCCGCCTGGGCATCTGTCGTAGAGCTGAGTGAAACAACGTCCCTGTTGAGTGACATCCCACGGTTATCTGGTCGAGTCGGGATTTATGCAGATAGAGGTGAGCCGAACAGTGCGAATGATAGTCGTGGAAGGTCACCGTCAACCCCTCAAGGTTCCGGCGACCGCGCGTCTCGAGTCGCTTCGGCATACGCCGAGTTCTTCCGCTGAGAACAGCATCTGGCGCTTAACTACGGCCATGTCTCTTATAAACCTTCATCATGAAGAAGTTCCTTGATCTTCATTATTCCCATGTCGCATGCACCCGTCCGTCAGCCTTACGATGCGCTCGTCGCGCCCGGTAACGTCTCAGGCGTAGATCGCCGATACCCTTACTTGAATGGCGGAGGTCGGGGTCAGCCTATCCTTCACGACGGCGTCGAGTATCGTACTCCCTATTGCTTGCATGGCTGGGACGCGCAATCGCGTCAGCCCGATTTCATGAAGAACTCACTCCGCACGTTCTACGGATGTCGTGGCTTTGTGAAGAACCACGAAAGGGCGGACGACTGGGATTGCGGGTACCTAGAGGAAGGGATTGTTGATGGTATGCAATGATCATACAAGGGATTGTGTCTCTGGGCTAATACATACAACAGTAGGTGTCAAAGGTGTCCAAGTACTCAACCCGTTCTGGGATAGTGGTCCGTGGCCTGCCCCCGATAACAAGGAGTGGTACTATAGGAGAGGCAATGTCATGTCGGGCATTACGACTCCTGGTTCTTCCCCTATCAAGGCCCCTTCGTCAGCTTCTGGAACTCCGTACTCGTCGCCTCAATCCAGCCCATCGCGTGCTCGTTAGGCATGAAGTACAGGTAGGCTATCACGCCAAGCATAGTACAAGTGGCCGTGATTGACGGGTCCGTTCTAGCGACCTAGTTCACGCGGGTTAGGTCGCAATGTAAACAACACGCTCAAATAAGTGTCAGCTGGAAACACTGGTCGCCCATGTATATGTAGTCTACGTGTATCTGTATCATCATCACCTCTAGGTCATCCCTCGCGTCTTGCTCGTGCCTTTTCGGTCCAGATCCCATGCACAAGGCTGCTATCGTCCTCCTTTACCAGATAGTTGGATCGCTTGGCGTCGCGCATGACTCTCGTAGCCAAGTTCTGATGATCGGCCGGTAGAGTGGAAAGTGCTTACGAGCGTGCTCGTCACAGCTCGTGAGCGCTGTACGGCCCCCGCTCAGCGCGTAGGAAGCCAGCCGCCACACGCTGGTGCTAACATTCCCTCCAACTTCCTCATTGGGCCACGGCCCCGCGCATCTGAGCCCTTCTGTCCGCACTTCGACACCGCTCGGCACAGCCCGAAGAGCAGGGAAACCTTTTCGGCCATGTGTATCTCGAGGTGAAAACTTTTTCTCCTTCTCGCGAGCGGGAGTGCCTCAGATACGTGCTCCCGCGAACGCGACGAGTGCTTAGCACTTAATTATCTCTGAGCTCAAGCGCTCGATACTCAGTCTGGTGCTCGTCGCGCCCGACGGTGAAGAGCTTCCTGCCCCACTTCTCTCGATCTTCTTACCATAGCTTGGGCATCTCGGCGGCGATTCACGCGTGATCTCCAAGCGTCCGAGCTCGCACGTATGCACCTTTATTCTCTTGCCACCCTCCTCTTCTGCTACCGCTCATGGTTTCCCTTCGCATACCCATATGATCCTTCGACTCCGCCTCGGGCGGAGGCGCTCTGAGCGTCGAGTTCTCTGGAACGACCGTTACGTTGACATTAGCTCTCGGCGCCTGCGTATATAGCGCCCATATAACGGCCGCCGGCCCAGGCAAATTTGCGACAGCGTCCAGGCCGCGCAGGACTCGTAGCTATGCCGAATGAGACGGTTCGCGGGTTCCCACCGCGATTTCCTCACCGTCATCATAACGACTCCGTGGCGTTCGCGGCAAAGTGATAGTATGCTGTGTGACGTATTAAGCTCTGGTTACACGAATGAGTGCTCTTCAAAGCCGATATCTGCTTTGAAACTGTTGTGCGTCGCGAGAGCATACACCTACAGGCTGACGAACGACTAGTCATGGGCGGCAGCGTTAAGGCCGGTATGCTTCAAGAGCAGCGTGGTCAACGCGACGGCGAGCGATTGAGCGTTACAGCGCGCATAACATCTGTGCGATGCAGACCTGCGTGCATTCAGCTCAGCAACGCTGAGTATGATTCATAAAGGTTCACACTTGACTGCAGATGATCTCGACTTTCACAATAGCGAGATGGGAGCAAATATATGTCGTACAGAGCTCATTACATCTGTGCGGGGAAGATCGTATGGAGTATGGAGATAGTGTGAAAATACTCGGAAGCGCCGCCGTGTTTCACTAGGTAAGCCGCCCCTGGTGCGCCGTAGAGCTTGTGTATGATGGGTAGACGATTTTATCCAAGTCCGTCTGCCAGTCGTCATACCCCTCCTTCAATGACTTCTGCTACTGTAACGTGTCGGGCCACGAGATCGCGCTGAGATGGCCAGATCGAACTTAGACTTGCTTTCGATTGTCCGCGAATCCGACATCTTGACGCGAGTTAGGAGGTTGTGGGCTTGTCTCAGTAACTGCGGCGATGCGCTGTCATTCGTGGTGGTAATCGAACTTGACTTGCTGGCGGTCTTACAGAGGGTGAAGATGTTGGGATCCACGAAGTTGGTGTCGGCGACCTCGATACGAAGTACACTGCGTGGGCGGGATGCCGATCATCTCGATAGTGTCAGAGAGGTCCTTATCGTTGGGCTGCTCACGTTCGCTCTCGAAGGAATGGATGAGCACACTCGGCTGGTTGTTAAAGTACGCCTGACCAGAATGGCGCTGTTGAATTCGATGTACGGAGTGATGAGACGGTCGATACAAATGAAGTCGAAAACCAGTAAGACGGCTTCATGCGAAAGACATAGCAACGTCACATTCAGAGAACCGTCGCCAGTGAGAACAGTAGGCAGATTAGGGGCATTCTAGGCAACGGCCACTTAATGGACTTTGGTGCAGGGAACGGAACGAGAGTCTCCAAACGCGAGGGCGCAACGGCAATGTCACCAATCCAGCAAGGGCGTCCCTCGGAGTAGAGAGCGAGAGAGTCGCACAGTGCAGCGTGGACGAGGTGCGAGCTGGGAAGATGTAGCGCGTAGTCAAGGTACCGCAGACGGAGTGTGATTCGGCGATACTCGATCGGTGTGACCTTCAGCTCCGTGGACTACGATCATCGAGTGTGGGTTGAGGCCTAGGAGGCGCCGTAGGGCATATAACTGCACTGTGGTGGCTACGTCGTCGATGCCTGGGCTCGCCACTTTGCCGGCTCGCCACTTTGCCGGCTCGCCACTTTGCCCTTAGCCGTGACTTTCTTCCTGAGAGCAGCGATGCGGCAAGCGGTCCAGGGCACGTTCAACGTTCCGTCGGGTTGGAAGATGGCATGCTCCGAGTCGGAGTATATGACGAGCGGGCGGTGGAGGGGATGCCCGCGCAAGTGCATGTAGGATAGCAAACATCTCCGCGCGGGTGTTCGTCTGCACACCGGGTACCCACATAGCGCGGTTGTTCTTCAACCCAACTCCCCAGTATATGCCAGCACCCGTCTTCGCTCCAGATCTGCCATTGCCGAGAGAGGAGCCGTCCGTGTATGCGGCGACAGGTGTGCCTGTACAGTAGCCGCGCGAAAGGGCGTTCAGGGGGAGGGGGGCGATGGCCCTCAGGCGGTTCAAGGACGTGAACGACCGGCGCGTGGTCAGACCATATCCCGCGCGGGGTAAGACGGAAAGGTCAACGGCGAGCAGCGTCCCCGCGGCATTCGTGAGGGTATAGTCAACAACCGATTTCCACCGGTTGCGATGGACCTTGTCGTGTTGAACGATGTCCAGGAGCTGGAGGTGGCGTCGAAGCGCGACAGTCCATTGAGGATAGTGAGGCGAGTGTCACCAGCAAGGTCGAGAAGCCCATTCCCTTGCGCCACGACTGGGAAGCGCGTGTCGACTGAGATGCGAGGAGGGACATCGTTCCAGCCCTGTAGCGAGCGCGTTCGCGCGTTCACGCGTTCAGGTCCCCGATCAAGCTTCAAGATTGGTCTATTGAGCGCGCGCCATCACCGTCTCCGATAGTGATTGCATAGGCGGACAGTCGGCCCGGTCTGGCCATGGGCTGCCGTAAGGGGATGCGCGGTGACAACGATGGCGAGACCGCTGTCGAGGACATGAATATGAGGTGGGCGATACACAGCGAGCCTGGAGCAAGGAAGATCGTCCCGTACGACGGCGGCAACCCCACCGCCGGCGTTGTGGTATGTTTCGCACCGAGAGTGGTATAAGGCCTTTTGGCCGCGAGGTATGCCTAACGATGCTTCAAAGGTCCTGGACAAGCTTAGTTTCCTGCACGAGGAGGGCATCGAACTTTGTGGTGTTCTCGACGAAACGAATGGCAGCGGTATCGCCATCTGGCTTCGGGTGCTTGGCCCAGAGCCTGATCGCCTGCTCGATGAAGTCTTTGCGAAGGTACGCTGCCGCCTATCGCTCATCAAGGCAAGGAACAACACCGCGGGGGGTCCGGGCGCTTCAAGAGCTCAAACGCGTCGCTGTTGGTCTTCTAACGATAGCACACCATAGGTTCCGACGCGCGTCCTTCTGCACCAGCCAGAAGTCTCTAAGCTTCCATGCGGCAAGCCAGACATAGCCGTTGGCGGAGGCATCGGAACGTCCTCGCTGTCCTCCTCGTAACGTGCTGCCACCGAACATGAAGGTCGAGGAGCTGGCACTGAAACCGGCCGCCGGGGCCAAGCTAGCTGGTTGATTCGTGGGAAGCGCCATCATGAGGATGTGCGTAGAGTACGCGGAGACACCAACGCGAAAATTGCGGCGGTGGTGGTCGAAAGGAAGAGACGCGCAGGAGACACCCGCGCCGCGCTCGGCTGGACATAGGTGCGGTCTCAGAGCCTCGTGCCTCGACCCCTCGACCGACCGGGCCATTGCGTCGCCATGTACGGGCCCGTGGCCTGTGAGGGGAACGCGGCGGGTGCTGTGACTGTCCAAGGTCGGCGCAGCAGGCTGTGCGCCCACGTGCGTTGTGGTTGGGTAAGCCGGCGCGGACTGGAGAAGCATTGGTGCGGGCTGTACGGCCGGACGGGGTGTGGTAGAGGGCACAGCACCGAGGGCGGCGACAGTTTGGACACCTGCCGAGGCGTCGAGTCCCGCTTGGGCACATGAGCGATAGGCATAAAGGGGGCGCCATCATGTTGGTGACGGGCAACGTGTTGCCAGCGGCCGCGGGCGTTGCTGTGCCATTGTTGACGTCCGCGGCAGCGGTGACATCGTCAACGTCCATAACGTTCTCCGCGGGTTCGTCGTTTACACGTGCGCACTTGGGAAGAGGCGCGCGGGGAGCGTCGTCGGGCACGCGATCATCGCGCCCGGGGATGCGCCCGCGAGGTCGTATACAGACTCGTAGAAGCTGTCGATGCTGCCCTGCATGCATTGTAGGAGCTCCTGTGTGTGGAGATCGGAGGTGAAGATCATCCGTAGTAGCCTCAACTTCAAGGAGCGAGATCCCGAACGTTGCCATCTCAAGATAGAAGCTGGGGGTGCGGACGCCTATGATCTTCGTGTCGAGATCGTGAATGATGGCGGTAGGGTTGTTGACGATTCGGAGGGTGGTGAGACTAGAGATGGTGCAAGCGTCCTTAGTCGCCTGACGCTGCGAGTCGTTGAGGTAGGTAGGCAGTTGAGGGTATGCCGGATTTGACAGCTTCCTAGTCTTCGCGAGCGCCTATGACGGTTAGATCGTGTTCGAGACGGGTCATGGAAGAGACTTACAATCTCCTCCCCGTAGTAGTAGGTGACCCGTATGCGAGGCTTGGTGCCCTTGACGATGATCCTGAACGGTGAGTACTTCGGGCCGACCTGGACGTCATAGAGCGGAAGTTAGGTTCGCCGCATCGCGACGGACAGGTGCAGACAACGCACAGTATTCACGCGAAGCTCAATCACCATGCCCTGCTCTAGGCCGTGCTGTCGGTTGAGTCAATGGTATAAGGCACCGTCCGGTTCCCCATTTATTGAATTGACCTCGTAGTCGGCGATGAGGGATGCAGGACCATTATTGCTGAAGCAAGAGACGTACCAAGCAATCATGGTCCAACAATAGAACACAGCCGGTCCACTCCTTTTCCAGCGTAGCTGGTGAAGATGCTGCCCTGATGCCATTTGCCGCGCGGTTTCGTAAGAGTGGTATGATTGCTCTAGGCTCTTTATGTGAGACGAGTCAGCCACAAGCGGGTGATATGGATTAACCTACCTACGCAAAGAGGTTGAAGATTTGAAGCCGGAATCGGGTGAGTGCCAAGGAAGTCTCGTCGGCTTCAGTAAGCAGGCGATAGCTCGATAAGGATGGAGACCATGTAGTTCAGACTTGAGTAGGACGGACTGACGGCTTGGGCGATAAACTGAGTGCGGCTATGACGGACATGGTGGGAAGCAAGCGGTTGCTTCTAGGCACCAACGGAACTCTATGGAGATGCTGATCCCCACTCCCCGTAGTAAAGCATGATGCATGATGCGTCAAACCTTGCTTGAGGCTTGGCTCCGGCGTCGGAGAGGAAGACCAATCCATCGCGGATAGTCTGTCGTGCTAGTGGTTAGCGGTGCACAGGCCTTCGTCGAAGCATCTTTGGCCGGCTGTCTAATAAGTGTAAGGACGGCCGCTGGCGAAGTAGGATCACGCAACTCGGGTTGTGTCATACAAACACTGCGCGCACTCCGGTGATAGCCACTCAAAGGGCGTGACTGCCTTCATTGAGGTGGCGCACTGTACAGCTACCACCACCACCACTTGCGATCATGGACGAAACAGGCACTGGGGGCCCACAACCCCTTCCGCAACCGTCCTCGGATCCGGATCAGGACTTCGATACGAACTATTTCACGAACCACCCTGTAACGTCGCACGGAGCCATCAAGCTTCGCTCTTTGGGACAAGAATGGGAGCAGATGGGCTCACTCGTGGAGGGATCGGCCTTCGCTCTGCTGAACGATATTGTCGCCGCCGTTTCAGAGACAACTGACGAGACAGACCCGAAGGTGCGACCATTCGCCCAGGCCATGTAGATCTGTTGACCCAAATACTATCGGTAGGAACTCCAAACTCTGGACGGCCACATGAAAGACCTGATCGACATGCGCGAAGCGTTACGCCATAATCAGAGGGCTTTGGAGGAATTGCATCAGGAAATACAACAGAAGGATATCGTATGGCCTCGGCTATCTCAAGGAACCACCTGGTTAATGTTGCGCTTCAGGTTAATATCATGGATGTCCACGAGCAGGCTGTCAACGGCGAAGCAGAACCATGGGCGAAGAAGACCGCACGCCAAAGGTATGCCAAGAGCGAAGCCTATCGTCGGTTTCGCATCGCATCATATGTAAGGTCTAGTTCATTGGTCTTGTCGTCATACGTGTATGGCTGATCAATTCAGGAGGTGCTTCATCCCGAGTCAGGTGTCCCGCCTCTAGATCAGCTCATACCTGTCGGTATGCAGGATTACTATCCACTGTGTTCCTTATTCGACTCTTTATGCAGAAGATGGCGACGACGACGACGACGACGACGACGACGACGACCTTCAGGTCAGCGGTATAGTGCAGGAACTTAGATGCCCCATCTCACTAACGCTCATGGTTGACCCCTACACATCGTCAGTATTCATTCAGGTAGATGTCTCTCTCGCGACTCATATGTTCAATAGGGATGTTTGCCATCATTCATACTCTAAGGCACCCATCTGGGACCTGCTGGGCGAGAATACCAGTGCGCACTCGAAGAAGCCCTGTCCTGCCTGTAACACGATGATTTGTAAGGACGATCTCCATCCTAACAAAGATCTTGAGGTAAAGATCGAACGTCGGCGCCGGAGACTACAGCGTGAGGAAGATATCGATGAAGTCGAGAACACCATAGACTAGGCTTGCAACTTAATCGTTTATTCTCTCTTCATTTGTATCCGAAGTTATGCTCGGACAACCGTGGCTGATTTTTTGGGTCGCTCGTGAGCGCGTAAGCACTCAGCATACCGATAGTCACCGGGTTGTCGGGGTTGAGCTCGGGCGAAGGAGAGGAGACCTAGTAAGGTTAGTAGGTTAGATAGAAGCGGATACTACGAGTGTGTATAGATGGGTAGCCTAAAGAGTGACCATGGGATAATCTAAGTGAGCACTACGTCTAGCTGTAGTGCAAGGCGGGACGATTCACGAGTCACACCTGGCGCAGAGGCAAGGTGAAGCGGGTGAAGGGCCGCGGCGGAAAGCACCTAAGCTCAGCGCTCAGCGATCACAGCAAGCCTCGGGCGTCTCGGCGATCGCCGCGCGCTTCTCTTTCCGCGACCGCGACCTTCTCCCGCATTGCGTTTGGGCTCCCTTTCTTTTTCGCCCGCCCTCCTCCCTCTCTCGTGCTCTTCGTGTAACGGGATTCGGCATTGGTCTCCCGCATAGAGTCACGTAGTAACTCGCGGCTCGTACGGCTTCGCGTCAGCCTCTCACGCACTTCCCGCGCAGGCTCGGTGATGCGTCTCGCACGGTTCTCATGTGACCGCGCCCGAGCGCGGCCGTTTCGGGTTCCGCCCTCCTTACAGCGTCTATTGACGCTGCAGAAGGAGGTCCTTCTTCGCCTTCTGTACAGTCCACCTCTCACGGGGGGACGGCGGGCGGGACCCTCTCATCAAACCCAGGCATCTGCGAGAAAGGTGGCGCTCGGGTATCAAGGCACTGTACGCCGCCCAAGCCCAAAGCGAGCGACCCGCACCTTGCTTTGTGAGGCTTCCGTGTCGTGAGGTTGCGCTAATACTCGTTGGGATTCCATAGCATACCTACTTATGATATCTTCATCTCTATCTGGCCTGGCTTCGGCTGTGGCCGGGGCCCTTGTGCAGCTCTAGGCGCGCGCCACTCGCGCCTTCGGGCTAACTTCGGGGATCTTCCCTGCTCCCGAACGGCGTCTCATCTCGCAGCGACATGTACCTCAGTACCGATTGCTTCCCGAACTAGGTGCAGTGCCCAGCAAGACAACTATCAGTATAGAAGGACTCGCTCTACTGTCCAAGATATTCACCTAATACTCACATACACCCAAACCCACCCACTACTCGATCGATATATGCACCTTTAAAGACGAATTAGAGTTCTCTCCGAAGGAGCTCTATAACCTCATGGATCCTGTCTCACTCCTCGTGCGTACGGGACAACTACTGAAGACATTATCACCTCGAAAAAGCGCGTTTCAGCGGCGACGCACGCCTCAGACGGCAGGCGAGTAGCTCATGTAGCGCGCTTTGAGCAGCCCGCTACATAGTGGGGAAGGTACGACTCGATATTCAATTCACATAACGAACCTCGGTTACGACACTCTAAACGGAGCGAAACGGGGGATACAACGAGTATTTTGTAGAGGTCTGAGACTAGAGTAGGTGGGGAGGGGGTTCTTCGAAACGTTGACTATTATGATATCTCGTTTGGGGCTATGAGTGGGTTGTGTCTATGTGTCTATGATTTCGCTGGAGGATCGTGGTGGAAAACCAAGATTCGAGCGGGTACAAACAGTTTACTTCGGTAGATTCAAGCAAGGAACACAGGACCTCCTCCTCGAAGCCAGATAACAGGTCGAGGTATCGACATATCTGTACCTTGCCTATGGGAAACCCAGACTCTCTCCGGCTCTTCAGTATACCAAGAAGGACATCCGCAAAGGTTGGCGGAAGGCCGTTGGAACGAAATGTCGGACCTAACTTCAAACATCGACCAGCGAACGCTGTGGTGGGCGTATTCGTCAGATCAAGTTCAGCAAGCTGGCGAAAGGCCGGAAGAATGCCTTCTCCGGAGGACGTGGTTGGCAGAAGGAGTTGACGAAGAGCGATAGCAGATAAGCTGCACGCGCTCCAAATAGTTCGAATGGAGAACTCCACGGCCGTAAAACGTATATGGGTGACATTGGGAAGGATGTTGATGCATGATAACCAAGGGCGCGTGTAGGCGCGGTCAGCGGCCAGACGTATGCGAACCTCCCGTATGTTGCCGGGGTTGAGTGCTGATAACAGTCGGGAGAGGAGAGCAGGGCTGAGCTCAATCGGGAGGTACGTGGAGAACTCGGCAGGCTCCTTGCTTTTCCCGGTCTCATCAGGGTATTCAGCGTCGTCTCTTGAGACCCAGAGTAGCAAGGCGTTACTGCCCGACAACGAAATGTCCTGTATACACAGCTTCCTCGACGAAGAGCCCGAATGTCTCTCGAGGAATGGCAAGAGGCCTGAGTCAAGCTCAGGATCGAGCACGATGCTGTCGACGGCGTTCAAGAGCACGGTGGCAGGAGCCGGGGCCGCAATGTGACCAGCGAGATACGCGACAGTGACAAAATCAGTCGACACCACCATACGCTCCAGTTGTCTCCAGGAAACGCAAGGGTGTTTCTGGACGACGATGGGTCCTTCCGTGGGCGTAGGCGTCGACTGATCACAATGCAACTCGAACGTGCGAATGGACTGCATGCGCTGCAAGGCAGACCTAAAGCCGAGGTTTGATGCCGCGTGTATAGGGTATGCTAGGGAGAGATAGAGGTGTTGAAGAGCTGAAAAATGGATAGTGGCCCAAGGGAAGGCGTCGGCGGGCATGCGGGAGAAGGTGACCTTCAGCCTCTTGAGATGTGACGCGTGTGGAACGATTGACCACATATCGTTCATGCTCTTCCAGGCCCTTTCGATGGTAAGAGTCTCGAGGGATGCGCACGGCAGAATCCCGAGGGAGCCAATGGAGTAGTCTCCGTGCGCGGATAGTTTTCCGGGGACTTCGAACGTGACAGTACGATGGAAGTTGTCGCGGAGGAAAATCTTCATCCAAGGGGCAAAGGTAGACGGCAGCGTGATGCGAAGGAGCGCGCCCTTGCAACGCGAGGAGAACGCTTCAGCCCACGAGCGCCCAAGATGTAGTGGGACTCTGCGCCAGAGGGACAGATCGTCTAATGCCACCTGCCTCCATCTGGCTGAGACGTGCGTGAGTTTGATCCAACCCAAGCAGAGGTGTATTGGCAGCGGGGCTTGGCTCTTCGACGTTCGACGTGCGTTACGCGGCTGAGATACAGTCTGTACTGTGTTGAACACAGTCCGAAAGGCAATGGGGCCTTCAACATGTTGTTGACAACGGAGGATATGGCTTAAGATTTCGGCGGGAAGCTGAGTGTTGGGAGATGCAACACGCGCATAGCCCGCGACACCGGCCTGAGGTGTATTAGGCTCCAAGTATTGACTGGTACAGAGCGGCCTGACTTGCCTTAGTATGGTCCATGGGAAATAAACTGCTCGGCTCTTCAGGTGGTGGTGCACTGCTAGCAGTGGTGGCTGTAGGCAAGCCTTTGTAGGCCTCATCGTCTGGAACGCATTGGCTCGCGTGGACCCCGCGTGCCAATCGCAATCGGGTTTTGCTTAGCGCGAACCCATAGATCAAGCAAGAGAGGAGCGCAAAAGTCCAAGGAGTCTATATCCTTGTCTTCCTCAAACTCATGGACAACAGCTGACTCCTCAGCGCTCAGCGCCAATTCCCGAACGCAGTTCACGGTACGCACGTACTGAACTCATGATATACACATTGGCCGATCGCGGGCTTCGATATTCGCATATAACTAAAGCTCAACATGATGAGCACGGATCCGAAGGGTAACCGAGTCTCGCACCGTTAGAGTAAGCGACATGGTCCCAACGAGCAAGGCGGATCCTAAAGCCTGAGTGTAGGTATTGCTTGACGAGCTCTGGAGGATGCGTGGTAGAAGAGAAATATCCATGACGGCCGGTAACGCACCAGATCTAGTTGGTAGTCGACGTTGGACGGATGCAAAAGCTGTATGCGGTGGGTTAGGGTGGTGATGGGAAGAGGAGAGGCCCAATCGGTCTTTGGCGGCAGTCTGTGATTCCTTTCCGCCTCGGGTGCGCATGGCCGTGGTATGTCTCACTCTCTCGTTATCTTGCGATTCTTCCCCTCATGTCTTCTGACACGACCCCCATCCGCGCCACGGCTCGTCGCGCGCATCCGTGGCACGTCGAACTCATCCTCTTCATCATCTTTACTTCCGTGCCAATCCTCTCCCTTCTATATGACATTCTTACCCCGCAAAGTCCATTCTGGCCCCTTTGCTATCTTTCTGGCTCAATTCTTTGCTTTGCTACATATGCGACGAGCCTCACGATGTACGTACGAAGGTTCGGACGTCACTCTACTTGGCCTCCTGGCCCCCTGAGTGGCACCCCCAGTGCTTCCCGCTCACTTCCCTACAGGTCACTCGGGCCCTCGCCCACACCGATGGCCTCTACATCGTTTATGCAACGATGAGCTTGTTACTCCAACTGCACCTGTGATGTATCCCCGACTGCAAGTAGTATACCACTCTGCCTACCACTAGCCGGAAGATTCGCGTCGAGGTTTCTCAATGCGGTACCTGACTAGCTCGGTCCGGCACGGCGAAGTACAGTACACAAGGCCACCACGTCTAAAGCCCGTCGTAAAAACCGATCTTGCGTCAGCATGCGATGCTGCGCGCGAGCGGGCACCAGCTTTGGCAAACGCGCGAGATACTCACCGGAGACGTACTTGAGCTTCATACGGTTTTATGCAATGTCAGGGTAATTGATACACCTGTTAGATCATGAGTGGATTACACAGAACGAGTATTAAGCACGGCAAACACGACAAAAGCCTCTGATCTAAGAGCGAGCAAGAAAGCCGGAGAGGATGATTTAGGAGTGTATAAGCAAAGTACGTGCTGGAAGAAGACAACACACACTCAACTACTACACTCATGTTAGTGAGTATGGGACAGATGATGTATAGGATTGCGAATCACGACCAGGTATCGAGCATGTAGGCCGTCGTAAAGCGCGTAGCTCTGCGCATGGTGGCCGTCTGCGAATCCGATTAAGGTACGGGTCACCCTCAGCTGTTAGCGGCGGCGAGCTCGCCCTTGTGCTTCAGTCTTCAGACCACTAGTTACCCGCGAATTCTTTGGCACCGAGCTAGATCCCGACTTGCTAGATGGCTCACGCGACTTGTCGTCTATCACAAGACGAATAGTACCTGGCAAACTGAGTTAGCCAGATATCAGACGAAATACGCTCGCGGTCAGTCAGGGCGGCGTCGAGCCTCCAGTGCCGCATTGGTGGTGCCACTGGGGTTAGGCTGATAACAAAGCACAAGGTATGTACACGTGCGGTTTGCCGACACCGATGGTGACTCTGGTCATGAGAATTCAGAATCAGTTCGATGACGTATGTACGACGTTGGCCAATTCTCTTACATGGTCCAGGTGGCAGGTTCTGGCTCGGGGTCGGCGGTGGCGGCGTCAGAAGACTACCGTGTGGGCCGCTCGGAAGCGAGCCGCGCAGAGCGTCCACGTGGTGGCGAAGCTGGGAGGGGGGAAGTTCGACCAATGGGGCATGGTGCCCGAACGCGAGACGGCGGAGGTGCGCCATGGGCTTGACGAGCAACGGAGGCGGAGATGACACGACGCCGGAAAGCCGCGGGTCTATCTGCGACGGTTGTAGTGCAGTCTCGCTTGCAGCTGGGCTAGCTAGACTCGGTGACGCCAGCAACCTCTTGGCACGTCGCAGTGGCCCTGAGGGTCTTGCGCGGATCGGATGGGCGCTAGCCGACGCGGATTACTTGACTTCATTTCCCCTTGGGTATCTTGGTGCGAGCTATTTTCAAGATAAGAGAAATCAGCCGATAGTGAGGAGATGCCAGATAGAGGCCCATACGTCCGCCTCCCTGGCACCCCACCCATGGATCTTATTCGTCCACGAAGAGAGCTGCAGCATTCACGCGAGACTATTTGGCGATCGCACCTCTCAGAAAACCAGAAGTAAAGGATCTATAAGAACGGGAAGGTATGCTGAGTAGGAGGAAATGGGCACGAAGGTACATGCTCGGCAACGTACATAATGAGGTTGCCGGCCCTGCTTCTCAGTTCTTGATAGTGCTACGCTTCAGACTGAACTAGATTACGTCTCTTGCGACGTAAAGCGCACCAGAGACGATATGACGAGCAAACTAGCCAGATGAAAGTGGCAATGATGCGATTATTCATCTAGACACATCCTACAAAAAGTACGAGACCCTCGTAGAACCTTCGCCGCTCATGTCAGGATCGTATACGGCATCGCGCGTTCACATGAAGCGGGGCCATTCACTGGGGTGATTGGACACGTTCCTGCTTGAAAGCCTTCGATCATACCGGTGCGTGTGTTAGTACAGAGCGGCATCGACTCGGAAGACAAACGACGTACTCGGTGTCGCGTCAAACTCCGCTGCGCGCGACATGAGACGCAATCGTTTCACCCTCACTGGACGAAAGGGAGAAGCACGTCGCCGTGGATATTACGCGCATGCGATACCGTCGGGCGAGGCGCCGGTGTTGAACATCCTTGTATCCTGCTTTTTCGTGAGCTATCCAGTGTATAGTGCGCATGTGAGGTTGGCGCGAGGCGGAAACATACAAAAGTCATGAACCTGCGAATAGCAGGCATGCGTAGCATATATTACTCCTCCTCCTTCCTATCATTTGCCGCCGCGCCATCCAAGTGGTCTAGAGATGCGAAGAGCGCACTCATGACAGTGTCAGAGTGCGAAGGCGGTCGAAGAGAGCTGAAGCGTTGGCGGCATTTGACGGCGTAACCAACCCCGTCGTCGAGACTGTACGCAAAGAGGGGCTCGAAGATGTCACTGTAGTCGTCATCGTTAGACGAAGATGAGAACGGCCGAACGATAGGATAAAGAACAGACAGAGGGCGCACCGTTTGCATCCTCAAGTCTTAGTCTTGTGGCCTTCACCGTATCCACTCGTCATATTTTCCACAGTAACCGTAAACAGCGCTGGGAACTGTCGGCTACGTGAGCATGCGCGGGACGCAAAAGGGCACGGCGAGTAGTGTGAGGGAGGCGAAATCTAACTCGGGGGATCCGGGAGTGGCACCATCGTGAGGGCGAAGGTGCACGACAGCGAAAAGACGGTCAAGATGGGCGATGTAGCGGGCGAAACTGTGCCCTGAAGAGGGCGCCGAGCAGAAGGCGTGGGAGAGACAAGACGCATATACTAGTAGAACGGGTAAGTGGTGGTACAAGGCATGACAAAGCGACGGGGCTTACTGGAAGTCGTGGCTTCTTACTGCGTCAGCGAAGAGTGATTGATCGTGGTAAGAGGACAAGTTGGCGGGGCTCGCGGCGCCTCACTTGGATCGTCGCGCGTCTATGACCACACGATTCGGGGACACCTAAATTCTCTGGAAACGCGCGCCAGCGCGGTGGCGCGGCGCGCAAATCCTGGCGCGGTGGCGCGCTTGGCAAGGCGGCCGGACTGCTGAGATGAACTCAAGTCGGCGCGCTCGAGGTCGAAATTGATGGCGCCGTAGGTGGCGCGCAGCGCGGAATGAGGCCTGAGGACGGGTGGCGCCACTCTGCACTGAGCGACACAGTTGCGCTCGTGCCCGTATCGTTGCAGTACGCCTGCTTGGCATGCCTACTGGCGGCACCAGGGGGTGGCCTTCTGAAATCGGGCCAGCGGGACTCAAGAGCCCGCCCAATATCGTGGCGATGACCGACGCCTCCCCCCTCGCGTCAAACGAGTCGGCGCGGAGGCTCGAAATCCGGAGTGTGCGCGCCGCCAAGCCTCGCCAGACGTGAGCACGAGGCGATGCGCGCCGGAGCAGCGCGTCAGAGCGTTCGCGCTGGCGCGCGTTTCCAGAAATTTCGGGTTTTTTGGGAGCGAAAGCCGCTCAACCTACTCGAAGGCCGCACCTCCTTCGCCTGTCCGAACTAGGGACCCATGCCGGATCCCGTCGGCGGCCGACACAAGTCATCTATCCGGTGATTCAAGGGCATCGGGCTTGAACGCAGGCATTCATGTTAGTTTGCATACTTCCAGAGGTTGATTAGATTCCCCGCCGGGCGCCAGCTCAGCACTCAACACTCAGGCCTCAGGTTTCGCCCGCGCCTCTACTCATGAATCGGAGGTGTACTCTCATCGACCTTCGGAGTACATTCGAGCTACCGTCCTCTCCTAGTTGTGAGCACTCTGCGGATGCCAAGATACAAACGGGCCGAAGCGTGTCGCGCAAGACGCTTTGGTCAACTGACGAGTCCTTTGCAAACCACCCCAGTATGTCGTTGCACGCCGCGCGCCTTGCTTGGTCTATGATAGGATGACCTCTTAGCAACGAGGGAATTCGCTGTTTCCGGCCTTTGTAGATTCTCTCTGTCGCGATAGTACTACGACGGGGAACAGATACCGCAATAAACACACTAGATTGGTCGGTGTACCACACACAATACCCATCGCACAGAAGTAGGTACAAGGATATATGATGTCTTGGAGCGAGAGCACATGCATTCACGCACGACTGCGCTAGGCCAGTTGGGAGGCAGTACCGTTACGCTGCGGATCGTCCAGCCGATGGATCTGCAGGTTAGGACCTGGGATTAGGCCATCCATGCTCTGCGGAGTGATAATCACGAATTGTTTTCCTTCGCTGGCCTCCGCAGCTTTGATCTTCAAACATGAAGTGAGGTGTAACATCCAGCTGATGGTTATATCGGCACGTACGAGCATCTCCGAGGACTTGCGTCTATTCACGGCGTCCATGAAGACATCGAATTCGTCGAGAAAGCGAATGGGGCTGTCAATGCTGTCCCACATAGCAAGGAGTAAGCATATTGTGGAAAAGCTTTTTTCGCCACCGCTGAGGACGCTCGGATCGCGTCCTATCGAGGATGAGTTTCGAGTCGAACGGGCATCGTCGGTCTTCACGAGTAGTCGTAGTTCGTGTGTGTTGTGTGCAAAGATGAGTTCCCCCTCGAAACCGCGACGGGACATCTGTTGTTGAAAGCTCGCTTTGCAGCGAAACGCGACAAGAGCGCGGAAGTTATCCCATTTGGTCTGGCGTCTCTCGAGGGAGCTCTTCAGAAGCTTTTGGTGTAACACGTCAGCTCCCTCAGCAACTGAAAATGCGTGGAGATGAACACGTACTGAAGTGAGCTCACTGAGAACTTTGAGATCGTTCTTGACCTTCGTAACAGAGCGAGCTGTTTGATTGACTGCGACGGTCAGCTCCTCGGCCGACTGATCAGGACGTGCTGTATATTGCTCCAACGCAGCCAATGCGACATTCAATTCTCGTTTCACCTCTTTCACCTCTCGAGGATCTTCGACGCGATCGCAGTACTGCGTCGCCTTGTCGAACAGCACACGATGTTTCTCTGTCCTCTCCGCTTCTTTCTTCTCCGCAGAGTCTCGCTGACGCTGCTCGATCATCAAGTCTTGCTTTAGATCGCGCAGTCTTGCCTTCTCCCGAGACAGATCTTCGGAAATCTCGTCCAATTCGGTCTTCTCCGAGGTTCGACGTTGATATCTTACGGACAGGTCCCGCTCGATCTCAGCCTTCTCCGACGCAAGTGCCGCCACACGCGCGTTCACCTCGAGCAGTTGCTGATCGAGCACTTGAAGCTGCTCAGTCTTAGCCGTATAATCAAGCTGAAGGTTCGCAAGATTCTGCGACGTGTCGATGGGATCTATTTGTGCCTTATGGGCAACGACCCGCCGAAGTTCATGCTGATGGCGCTCAGCGAGCATTACACGCTTACGCGCGTCTCGGACAGCGACCTATTGATCGCCATCAGTTGACCAAGAGAAACAGACACATCTAAACTTCCGCCCACCTGACTTTCCTGGTACTTGAGGAGGGCGGCTTCAGCCACATCGTTGTTAGCTCGTTTGAGGCTCAGCACGTTCTTGAGCGCGACCTCGGCACTCTGCACCCGATCACGCCAAAGGTCAGCCAAGGCGGTACCGTCTATACCAGTGAACAATAGCTGCCGCCAATCGGTCGCATGCATGTCGCGTAGTGGCTGTGAGGTCGCACTGTGCGCTGAGTAGCTCACACGGAAGAGATCGGCGGTGAAGCCTTCTCCGAAGTGATGTTTCAGAGCATTCTCGGCGTCCTTGCGGGAATCGAAGAGACGTGTCCACTCGATCTTCGCAGCGTTGATCAGCACTCGCTTTGCGTGTTCGTTGTCAATGTCCAGCGCTCGAAGGACGGTCAGGCTGTCAGCCTCCGGCTCTTGGGTGTGGTAGTCGAAGAGGTCATAGCGATTCACTATAACGGAAGCACGGCGATCGCTGGGTTGTACGTCAATGCATAGATCCAGACAGAGAACTAATGACGCACTTCTTTGTCTCGCGAAGAATAGTGAGGAGCTTCTCCTGGTCCCGCACGGTCTCGACAACAAACGAGCACATGTATTTCCCGATATGTATACGCATGATCGGCGCCCATTGTGGATTGCGCAGGTGAACATACCGTCCCAGCGGCCCTAATGGAGGTCTCCCCTCCCACTGAGCGCGCTCAACACGTTCAAGTACCATCTGCATGTTGTTGCCATAGACTGCAAGGGAATCCTGTGAGAGTTGTTGGAGATTCGCCCGAGCGCACTGGAGCGTTTTTTGATGGGTCGCTTCATCATCGCACGTCTTCTTAGCGGCTGAATCGGCGCGGGCCTTGTCTCCCGCATCTGCGAGAAGGGTGGCTTCGGCAGACTCGAGAGTAGCACGGGCAACTTGCGCAGCAGATTCGGCTTCACGCAAGTCCTTATCCTGCTGTTCCGCGATCGAAGTGGGACGTGGGTGCGCGCCTTCTTCCTGATGAGAGAGACAACCGATCTCGCCCTTCAATAGCTGGACCTTGTCTCTTAGTTCCGAATAGGTCGTCTGGAGAACATCTCATAAGTATTGCGCTATCAGTTCGGTTGTGCGTGATGTGACCTTCAAATTGTGGAGATCTCGCCTCAATGTGCGCTCGTTCTCGCTCAATAGTCGTTCCTTCTCGTGAAGGGACTCGACATCGATCAAGTCCAAACTGTCTTCCCTGGCCTTTTTCTCCGTCTCCATGCGGGAAATCGAATCGGATGCTTCGTGTATTGATAGTGCAATGGAAGAGAGCTTGGTGTCAAGATAAGATAGACGCCCAGAGTAATAGGCTGCGTCGGAGAGCACGGCTTCGACCTGCGACCAAGCGAGCTCTCTCTTCAAACGTGCAACCTTCTCCTGAAACTGAGAAAGCTTCTGCGCTTCAAGGTGCCGCCTAGAGGCGGTACGATGGCTGTCCTCGAGTCCCTCGAGATCGCGGGTTTTGCTTTCGATGACTGTCGCCATGCGTTCTATGTTCTGAGCGCAGATGGCGTATTCTTCGGCGAGCTGAGATAGATGGGTTCCTTCAAGAAAGATCTGAAGATACCTATAGCTCAGATCATACGTCCGATGGAAAGTGCTCACACTATACTTGTCCTTGGGGCTGGATGAACTGAGGAAACGCTTCGCGCCATCTGCTGTCTGTCAGATTGACTCTCTCATACGGGATATGCTCTTACCTTGAGTCAGAATCACGAACGGGTTGTCCACTCTGAGCCCCAAATGTTCGCACATGTCCCTTACGTCTCCGAGGCTCGACGATACCTTCTTACCGGATTCTCCATGCTTCATTGAGTAGTGCGATCCGCCTGAACTAGATATCGTCCGCGTGATAGCGATGTGGTCGCCGAACTCTGCATACCGGTATGCTCGATCACCTTGGTTGTGGATACGCACAGTGACCTTCGCGACGCTGCCAACAGGATGTCAGCAACAAAGTGTGAGGGTTAACTAGAGGGCGAAGCACTCTTGTCCTTGACGTATCAAGGATTTGACTTGAGGCCCCCGCTTTCTCCCGGCGGAGAAGGTGCGTCCGCCTAATGCAACCATCACAGCAGCAAGTATGGCGCTCTTTCCGCCTACCGTGACTATCAGACTAAAAGCAGTGGAATGATAGTTGGAACGTACTTCCGTTATGACCTGGAAAATGCATGTCAAGCTGCGCGATAGGACGGCACTTAGTGGGTGCGGTGCTCACCGACGATAAAATTGGCTTTGGGGCCCAAATTGAAGCGAAGGTTCTTGTGGCACACGAAGTTGCTCATCTCTACGCTTTGGATGATCCCGGCTTGCGAAACATGCTGAAGAACCATGAACATAGCGTACGAGTCATGAAGAGGCTTAGAGAAACGATACACTCACCTGCTCGCCCCCTCCATCTATGCCTGAATGACCTCGATCCTCGAGGTTTGCTGCAGCCAGACCTCCATCGTCTAAGTATCAGTGAGTGGCGCGGGTCGCCTCTTCATCCGTCTCACCGAAACTTACCCCGTCCCGCTGCGGATGAATGTTTCTGGCGTTTCGCTCTCTTCTGGACCGGTTTTGTAGTGTCTTCATCAAGATCACGAATGGCAGTGCTTCGTTTTCTCCCCATCAATGTCCTGGATGCGATCGTTCGACGAGAGCCGGTGTCGTGGGATGGAAGAGCGAATAAAGGCACCACCGCGAGTCACAGCTATGAACGCATTGGGAACCAACACACAGCACTGTATCATAGAGACATCGCACCTATATGTTTCACGCGCGTGACCCGGCGACGATGGGAGTTGGGAGGAAGCAGCGCCAGAGTAGTCCGCCACTCCATCACGTCGCGACGCGACTTGTCACAACGCGCTTGAGAGTGACATGCAGATCCTTTATCCTGACCACGATGCTCTCGATCAACACCGCGACTTCACCTTCGGACCTTCATTAACTCTGCTTCTGTGCTCAAGGATGGAGAGCTCTGACAGTAGCGCAACCTTTTCAGGCAGCCAGCCTCCAAACCCCACGAACTTCGCGGAACGTAATAGGCTCCGAGATGAATATCGCGAGTTATGGCCCGGTATCGCAGGTCCGTTCGACTGCTATCGCCACCGTCTCCCGCTCAGATACGGGCACAGAAGACTCTAATGGCTTTGCCGAGCTGACCCCAGAAGAGATATTGAGTAAGGTCACTCGGACGAATGTCTTATTCGATAAGGGTGCGATTTCTTCAACAGGGTGGTGCGAAGTCATCGCGGCTGAACATGATTATTCACTAGTCAACGAGCCGCAAGACGCGATGATGGACTCGTCTCTTTTGCTAGCAGCATCGCAACATGGAGCGGTCACAGCCCTGTCAATGAGAGCTGACGAGGGTGCTTTCGATGTCGACGGCTTCATCACGGAGTTGGTCGGCTACATGGGTGCCACACCGTCTGTACCTGAGGAAGCAGAGTCTCATCAAGACTCCTCCCCGCTTGACTGGGAGAAGATTGGGTGGAAAGCTATGGCCAGAAGTCGCCATGCTCCCGCTATGGACTTCATGTTTGCCTCTTCCGCGTTCAGAAAGATTACCCGTTGACATCGGACATTAGGTTCGGACCACTCGATATACAGCAAGTTGTACGATCAAAGAAGCGCACCAAGAAGACGGCCAAGACCCTCGACGAGCAAGTAACACCGCAACGCATCGAAGAGAAGGATATCCAACGAAGTGAGAACGAGACTTTGGAGAACGTCAAGGCGGTACGAGAATAGTCGGCCGCAATTGGGGTGCTTGGGTTTGACATCGTGGTATAGATCAAGGACATACTTATGGAATCTGTCACGGACGAAAAGGGAGTCAACCTGTTTCGTTTCATCGTGAATCCCGACGACTTCGCCCAGTCTGTCGAGAACCTATTTCACCTGTCGTTTTTGGTAATGAGGGGCGAATGTACCGTACAAGTGAGCGAGGACGGAGAGCCGTTAATATGTGGGTGGAGACATATACCCGAGTTGTTCTTTACGATTGACAACGAATCTCAGATATATGTGATGCTCCCACCGACCGGGATTATGAGGAAGATCTGGGCAGGAAGCATGTCATCATGAGCCTCGACATGCGAACGTGGGAGGTAAGTGTTTCGGAGCACCTGAGGACTGAGTGTCGAGACTGAGCTTCTGCTACAAGACTGCCAAAAGGCGTTATCACATCACAGAGCCGATGATACCGGCACGGCCGAAAGTATCGAATACAGGAGGGGGTTTGTGGTATGGCTAGACAGGCTCTTGTGAACGCCCGGTCTCGGAGTCGCTTAGAATATCCCTGGAATCTACCTGTGCCACTTACCCTAGCTTCTACGCGAGGAGCCTCGTCCCTCTTTCGTCTGCAAATTTCACATGTGCCACACTACCGTCACAACCACTGGTGAGTGTCCACTCATCGACCTCGGCATCTAGGTTATGATCGTTTGTATTGTCCTACCCTTGTGCATAAGGACATCGACTGCTGTGACGGCAATGCATAGAGGAGCAGGGAGATCATTGTTGGCACCTCAGGCTGAACGTAAATCCCGTTCTATTGCTGATACGGAGTACATCATGATCAAGTCAACCGAAAACGAGGAGCAGCGAAATACGCTTCTAAGGATGAGGCCGGGCTACAGTCCAGACTCTCATCTGGGCGGATATACTCGGAAACTAAGCCTAAAATGTCACTGTACAATGGTAACTTCGTGGGCTTCTTCTGAACCAGAGAAGCGCAAAATGGACACCGGTGCTGAACCTTCACCCTGCGACGCCTGAGCGCAAGAACATACTGAGCAGTTATCTTCGCTGGAACTTGTTGGAGTTTTGGCGGAAGCGAGCCAGAGACGACTGCCGATGCCACGCGTTGCTCGAGGAGGGCTCGAAATACATGGTGGAGGCACCGAACACATATCCTGTGATTGCAGGTGTCCAAACTGTACCAGGGTCAGAGACACGACATCATCAATGAATTAAAGAGGTGCTCACAAATAGATGTCCGAGGATATAGACCGACAATGCTGACAGTGAAGGGCAGTAACAGTGCTGCTATCCAGCTGTGGTAACGACGACGTTGATCAATGACCGACGAAGCCAGATGAGAGCACGACGCATACCGTGGTCATTAAGGACCCGCGAGCGGCGAGAAGGTCTTGCATAGCCCCTTGGACATGAAGCAGCATGCTTTGATTACACTCGAGCGGATCCAGCGCCTGTTGAGATGATGAGAATGGGTATGAGAAGGAGTGGTAGAAAAAGGGGGCACCTGTCCAGCAGCAGCAGCTGCTGCCTGTGAGCGCGTGACTATTGAATATGTACTCTTGGGCCGAGTAGCATACCGGGGCTTCGAAGCCTCCGTAGCGCGAAAGGCAGTAAGAGCCTTCTCAAGGGACGCAATGGACGAGCATAAGTTGCTATGCATTGGGCGATGAGGACGAGTAGAGCGCACCAGCTGCGCTTATAAGACATGCATAGAGAGGCCTCGTGTTCCGGGATACAAAGGTCTTTTGGGAACCGTGTAGGTAGGCGTTGCGGGGACGGTGGCAATGACAGAAAGGGAGACCCTGTCCTAAAATAAGACCAGATGGCAGGGCCGGCTGACATTGGCAGAGCATATAGAGGATGAGATGCCGGCAGCGGGAGTTGAATTTGTGAAGCCAGCGATAGGGTATAGCTGTATGAAAACTCGGGGGAAATCAAGGTGGCGGTAAGGAGCAAGCCAACTGAGCGCGCGCGGCGGATCCCAGAGTCGCGCGTGCCCAAAGTTACCCTTTAAGGTAATTTCGATGGCCGCTGGGCAATGCGGCTGTGGGATGCCGCGAGCAGCCCTTCAAATCTTTCCTTATAGGGTAATTCTGGCTGCTGCACCTTCGAACACGAGAAGAAGTCCCTTCGGAAAGGTGCTATGCAACTGCTCTAGGGCAGCGCATAGTCGTCCGAGTCTAGCAGTAGGCTTCGATTTCTTTGCCACGAATGCCGTAGGAGACTGCTTGAGCAGCGGTCAGGCTGAGGACTGCTGTCGAGGCCGCTACTACTGGCGCAGTAGGGCCGTGGAAAGCCAAACGGCGAAGCTTGATCCGCGCCGCGCGTCTCGGAACAGCGCGTGGATTACCCTCCGTCTCTTTCATCTGACCACAACGATCTCAGCCGAATGGCTCCTGCCATTCAACATATTCGTTAGCGATGTGGCGGGTAGAAAGCTCATGATCTGCTCCATCGAATCGTACCTCCTTCCTACGTCTGCGGATTGCCCGTCATCGAGGCTCTACATCACACGGACAACGTGAAGCCGATTCGGGAGTTATCGAGGGAACGGAGTCGGTATGGTACAGCATGTACAGTCGATCACGCTCGATTGTGGCTTCCTCACGAGCGATTGTTGCCCAGAGACGCGCCAGCTGGTGAAGGCTCTTTGACCTTTGGAGGCTACAGCGCCATATTCTGCCTTTCCGTCTTTATGAGTTGCCACCGCACCAATTCCCTATACTTATAGAGCGATATCGCTCAGGAGAATACTCACGTTCACCAGACTCTGAGCCATGAGTGCGACTACCGCCCCTGTTTCACATGAAGACCAGAGGATATCTACGCTCGGCCCTGCTACACATGAGGCATGCGCACGACACCCGTTACACGGTACTTGCTCGTCTCTCTCTGGCGTAAGTCAACTGTCTACTCGATCGTCCGAACTACGTTGGCACAGGCTAATACAGGCGCATAGGCAACCTATAGAACTACCGGCCGCGTCGCGCGCCGCAAGCATGCCCTACCCATGAGAGGGCTCGGTCGTCGTACCGGGCCTTACCCATACCCCGCAGTGCGCTCATTACCATCTCTCATGCAGCAACTCAGCCTGATCATTCGGTGCAGAAACTCGCGACCAAAGAAGCGATGCTATTCGCATGTTTCATGAAGGAGCTGGTGCGCGTGTATCATTCCGTGCCTCCGACGTTTGACCCGATACGTCTCCATCTAGCGTCTCCCAGCCACGCAGAGAGTCGATATCGATGCAGTAGAGTTGATGGCCGCGATAGCTCACATCAGGTCGATCTGGGAGTGCTACGAGCACGGCGGAGAGTGCTACGTCGACCTCCACGGTCAACATGTGCCCATCAGCGCGGTCGAGCGCATCCAATGGGCTTGGTATCTGGTGCGGGCACCAGCTCACACATTCACCAGTATTCAGACTCCTAACAAGATACCGTAGGCAACTACTCCAGCAACCGTGGCGTCCGACGGGCCTCCACAGTACATGCTTGCGGAATGGACGAGCAAACAGCGCGCCATCGCAGCTAGATTTGTGACATCGCTACCGCGACCTGCGGGCGAATGCCATGCGGCCTCGTCTGGTGAATAGCATGTCGGCAGAATAAACTGTGTATACATCTCCAGGGGCTCAATATGATATATGACATACATCTCATGTTGTTACATATATCCGTATCTCGTGAATTCAAGCGTCGTGTACTACTCCAGCCCGCTGGTTGTGCCGGACCGGTGCAGTTGATGTACCGGACATGCGGAGGAACCAATAGGGAGGTTGAAATCGCCGAATTCACGCGTGGGCGCCGAAATTTACGTGCTGCATCCCCGTACGCCAGACCGCTCCTT